ATGGTGGTTGCCACCATCGTGGTCTTCATCATTGTCACCATCACTGACAAGAAGCAAGGATAGAGTAAGCCCTAGCTTCTTTTATAGTGCCATTAGGAGGCTATCATCGGAAGGGAGAGGAAGAGGTCTCGTTGACAGCATTGGTGGTGGCGCCATTAATAGCAGCTTCCTACCAACAAGCCATTACCGAAGAGGAGAGGAAGAGGGTCATGGTCGTCATTGACAATGAATCAGGAAGTGGATGTTGCCTTCTCACCAATAGTATGTTGATTATTGGTTGAGCCTTTTTGCTGTCCACCGGTTATTAGTTGAGCATTGAGGCTCTATGATCAGCGTAGCTGTCCATGATCATCGTCATCGACGATGTCATCTGTTGAGCATTGGTGACTAGTTGGGCAATGGAGCTATAGTGTAGTTGTTGCCAAAGTCTTAGGTGGTGGCTATTGTCGATGTCCTTATTCTCATTGGTCTGTATCACCTTCAATAAAGCCTTGTAGAGCTCGTGATTAACGATTTATCGTCATATCCTCATTTAGCTTTGTGCAGCCTAGTTGAATTACTTTATGACTTATCGTAATATTAGTAAAATATTTGTAATATAGTTGAAGCATTGATATCATCTTTTGTAGTGTTACTGAAGCATCGGTTACATCAGTCTATCATTCAGTGCATCATGAATCATTTATTACAACAACAACAAAACATATAGTATTAAATGAATACATATTTATAGTTGATATTATTAATTTGAATGTCATTTAAGTATAGGGTATTTTATTACAAGGATGATCCTATTTCGAATGAATTATTCAATTTTCTAGATAATATGGATACGTTCAATGAAACACAATCTACAATGACCTATACATCGGACATGTAAACAATTTATAACTATTTATATTATAATATATAATATAAAAATTTATTGATGATATTTGACCCATAAGTTCTTCATTTTTTTGTAGATATTTAAAGAATATATTATAAGGAGAAATTTTTGAAATAAAAATTCAAGTAAGTACATGTTACAAGCTTAAAGCATGCTATAAGGTTGAGCATTGTGGATGGCTGATAGTTTTGTTGTGGATGTGATGCATATCGGATTACAAAGTTTATGGGCGAGCATCAATGCAATATGCCTACAGGAAATTGAGATCATCCATCTTACAGTAGCAAGTTTATAGCTGAAGAAATCCAAGAACAAGTTCCTACAAATGAACTTTATACTCTAAAATGATCATTGTAGACATAGTAAAAAGATTTAGGGTGGTAGTTTCATATGGAAAACCATATATGGCATGTGAAAACCTAGTGAATCAAGTTCGTGGACACTTTAAAGGATCTTATGGTGATTTCCTACCTTTCTATGATAGTTAAAAGTTCATAACTATTAGGTGCATGTTTTCATCAAGTGTTTTGGATATTAGGTGCATGTTTGCATAGTTTTATTCATTACATTCATTTAGTTATCGGCATAGATGCAACACATTTATCTAAAAAATATCCTTGTATATTGACGATGGCAACTATTGTTGATGGATCTAATAAGTTATTTACTATTGCATTTCGAGTCGCAAAGATTGAGACGAGAGTCATGGGAATGATTTCTTTTCGAATTAAAAACTATTTTAATATACATTATGATTCTTTAAGTACCATCAATAATAAAAAAAATCTAAAAATTATGATCGTAGCGAAAGAAATATTTCTAGTCGTATCATGATAATTATATGATCCATCTTTTGAAGAATTTAATAAGTAACGTATGCAATACATCATAATATCAAATTGCTATCCCGATGTACCGATACATAATCATTCCAAATATAAGAATCAAACAAACTAAGTAAAGAAATAAGTTATTGAGACTCAGGAAATAAATAATAATTGTTATAATCCATCGGTACAATAAGACTTCGTTATTGTTATATAAAAAAAAACCTAAAATAAGCATGGTGTATACCACATAGGTAAAAAGTCATTGCACGTACTTTCAATGTCATCGTGTGTTATCGACGCAAAGGAGGCATTCTTCAAATCATATATTCCGGATCTACAATATATATATTGCCCATCACCGTTGACAATATAATAGTGATGTATATAGATAGTATCCTATTTTCCACGAGGGTATTGGGCAACTGGGCATGAGATGGAGCGAGAATTAATGCCCAAGAAAACTATGTTGTTGCCTAAACTTTTTGCCTCCTCCAATGATGGTAGTAAACCTTTCATATTCAACTTCTGGATTTCTATCCTCTCTTTCGTGGAAATTCTAATGTCACCGAGCCTATGGTTAATAGGGTGCTCGATCGATATGTTTCGAAGGACTACGAGCTCACCTGATAACACTACAAACTGCCATAACGTGTTGCTTAATTCCCATTGAAGACCGATGATAGTCATTTTCTCGAAGAAGAATTGAACATAGAGACTTGTGCAGTTCCATCTACAGCATAATAGCTTCCTTCCTAATAAATGACATCATGGTACGTACTTTTGTCATCTACCAAGGTCCATTCATCATCCTCACCTAAATGAATAGAGAGGAGAGAATTATTCAAGGTAGAGATAATGACAATGATGCAATCTTGATCATGCGTCGAGGGGTTTGATGACATTGCGATATTCTTTATATTGGCATGGAGATTCGACCAATCAACTATTCTTTCTTCTTTCTCTTCTTTTTTGCTTTTAGCTCTTCTTTTGCCTTCACCGTCAAAGAGTTCTCCACCCATGTTGGAAGATGAAACACGATTCTAAAATTTAATTCAAGGAGATATATAGAGAGTCATTTACCCAAAAGAATTTACCTAAGAGTGCCTTTTTATCTTTGTAAATTTAAAGTAAAAGTTAGAAAATTAAAGTAAAAGGTTCTCTAGTAACAATAATGTTCTAGTGCAACAAGCATAGACAAATCATGAGAATTGTTGCCTACCTGATAAGAAAGAACAAAAAGAACATCTTGTTCCAAATGGTTTTGATATGTCAATGATTCACCATGTTAATTTTCATCTCACTAAATTAGTCATTGGGCACTACTAAGACTGGGAACTTGGTGGCCATGCTGTAAACTTCCTTTGGCACAAGTGCATGGTGATGCTTCTTCCATGCAGCATACGATGAGTTCAACAGGGCCCACCTCAGGCCACTGTTGCAGCATCAATGTGGGGTGTGCTCCCATGACCCTCTTGTTCTGGTGGTGGTGGTGGTGGTGGTGGTGGAGTTGGGGAAAAGAAAGTGAAGTAGAGAGTGCAACTCTTCCAAAGCATTGGGGTGTGGAATACAATTCTTCCAACTCCCCACATCAAAGTTGTCAGCAAAAGCTCACAGTATCTTCTCAGTGGAGTTTGATTCTTCCCTCATCCATCTCATGGCAATTTGTTGATTCATTTTAAGCATGAACATGATTGAATGAGGTAGCAGTAGTGTTCTTCATATTTATCTCTTTAATTCTAAATTCAGCATACCTTTCTTATAAAACTTAGTAATTTGTAGGCATACATACCAATATAGTTTATCTTTAATAATAATATCCTCTAGATAGAAAAATAAGATCAAGTAATTCCACTATGAACTTCAAAGTAAGAAAATATTTTCTTTTGGAAAAACTAAAATGAATAGTTTCTTTTAATGATCAAAGAGAAATCAAAAAGAAAAGAAAAAAATCAATAATATGTAAAACCTCTAATCAAAAAATATATATTTTTTGCTTTGTGCTTTGTTTTCTTCTTCTGGTTGCTTTATTTTCTGTTCTGCTGCAAATGCCTCAATATTATATATCTAATTCTGATGCAGACACCACTTGTAAGATAAAAGAAACAACTTGGTGGGATTCTGATGGTGAATTGAGTGCTTAGTTGCACTGGTGACTCACTGCTACTGTTAGTGGCTTCCCCTGATACAATGCAATGCAAGACAGTGCAAGTCTTTATTTTTCTGAATATAAAGATGATGTGGTCCATGAATGCAATAATTGCAAGTAGCATGATGCATGATCAGATTCTTGTTTATTGAAGCCAAGGCATGAAACATGTGTGTTGATGTTGATTCTTCTCCCCCTGCTGATGTGTTGTTTATGTTTCTTGTGGGATTAGCTGATGATTTTTTTTCCTTGCATAAATTTCAGAAACACAGACCAAATTCTTTGGTGAAGAAAGAATCTCCTCTTTTTTTGTTCCCAAAAAGAAGCTAACCTTGACTAATCATAATGAAAAGATGAAAGCCCATTAGCATCTAACAGAGAACCTCTCCTTGCAGACTGCTTTAAAACAGTGAAGATGGGATCCTTATTTTTCACTTTCTTTTCTTTTTGAGTTCTTTTTAAGAATATCAAGATGGGCCAACAGATACTTGATAGTTGAAATCCAATGCCAATTTTTGTTTTGTTCTCTCTCTTTCTAGATTTTATTTGGACATGCCACATGACTCAAAAGAATTATTGATAACAACAACATTTAATTAAATCATGAAAAAAAATTAATAGGGATTTGAGCCTAATTTCATCAAAATTTTACCTCTTAAATATCACCAACCAAATAATATTCTTCAATCCTAAGACAAGAAGTTTTCAAAATCCAAATTACTCCCTTTTTTTCATTTGAAATTACTCCCATTTTTTTTAAAGAAATCCTAAGATTTCAACCCTCTCCACCAAAAGAAGCTGTACATTATTATATTGATGTCAACATCAACTTAAAACATGCATTCCTATAAATATAATTACTGTTATATATATATATATATATATATATATATATATATATATATATATATATATATATATATATATCATGTGAATGAATATTATATTTTTAATAAAAGTGTGTAATTTAATATTAGAAGAATTTATTCTCAGTTATTTTTGGATTTTTTGCAGTTTTAGGGTTTGGTGCAAACCCTAATCAAACACAATCTCATGCAGGTATTATTTATCCACTCAATCATGTCTATTTCCTTTATTAGGAAGACAAAGTGTCTTAACCTTAACTTTCCCACCTAACATCTTCCTCTAAACAAGTGGGCAGTTCCGGGATGTGGGAAGAGGGGGTGGATTCCACCGGATTCAACACGCTTCATCTCACGTCACTCGCCGCCCCGGATTCCGACCTCGAAAGAAGGGCCACCGATGGAAGCTGATGCCACCCTCAGGTAGGGCCCGTTCCAGCCGCGGCAGGATTCGGATTCGGATGATGATGGCCTCGCCTTTCCCCGCGGCCTCTTATACCCCCGGCCCCTCGCAGAACCTCTGAGCCAGCCCGCTTCTTCCTCGATCTCTTCCGTCCTTCACCACCGGTTTTTGCCCTAATAAAAAGTTCGATCTTTGTTCGGATTTTGGCATCTGTATCGGCGTGGGGGTGGGGGTAACCGCGCTCTCCGTCTTCCTCTCTTGATTCCTCCGGAGGTACGACGGTGTTTTCCTTTTCTCTGGTTTCACACGTGGCATTATTCTGTTGGCGCAAGTGTGGGGCCCGGCAGAAAAACCGGAGCTTTGGGACAAAACCTCATCCACTTCCGAAGTAGTCGGTGGGGGCAAAATAAGTAGAAGGGATTGGTGGTGGTGAGAATCTCGTGGGGTTGTGCTTGTGACGAGGCTTGATGGTCAAAGAAGCGGCACAAACAAACAATTTCATCTCTTTCAATCTTTGCATGATTTGGTGCATTAAATCTCTTCATCTCCTTCTTGGTTGGTTTAACTAACCATCACCTATGAATTATAATGCTGTTAAAGATCAAAGAATTAGTGATAATTGTGATTTTGTAATTCTTTGAAGTCCTTTCTTTCCGAATCATAGAACCATTTGACACTATTCGTGGGGATGATTGCAAAATGTGACATTTAAATGACTAATATCTTTTCCAATACAAATGGAGCCGAAGAATGAAAAAGGAGGAGCTAAGGATCGTCAATGCCATGAAATTATTTATATGGCATCTAAATTTTCTTGTCTTTGCATTCTAACTTGATGATTCATTTACTATGTTTGCATCAGCCAAAGCTTATGAGGCTTTCTGAAAGAAAGAGCAGCAGACTGCAAACTAAATGGCAGAAAGTTCTGTTGCAGACTCATGGTTTTAGTTTTAAAAAATGGTTCCCATATAAATAATCTCTACTCGAGTCACTGGTGAGATCAATCACATGCCTACCATGAGCAACTTGTCGGTGTTCTCCTTTTATCTGATAGGTACATGTGATCTGACGTGAGACCACTAGAAACCTTTGTCTGTAAAATGGATGACTCCTATAATTCAATAGAGGAAGTTTCCTGGTGGATAGTGTCCTTGTTTGTCCTTTTCTTACCATATGAGGTTTAAGTATCATTTCTTCTCATATGGGGTGAGGGTAACCAATTTCCTGGACAAGTTTTCCTGAACCGATGTTTGCCTAGTTTTAGCTCAGCTATAGGTGGCGTCAATATCTTATCCATGTATTTCAGCGATAAGCACTATAGCACATGGGCCATCAGCATTTATTTGTATGATTCCAACTCACTTATTGCTATAGACTTCTGTGCTAATTCATCTCTGTTTTTCTCATATATGCCCTGGGTGAGTAACCATTTTTCTCAAGTAGCCAATCACAGACTTATTTGCAGGTCTACATTTGGTTCTGCAAAATTGGCATTGAGAGTGGGGATATTCCATCAGCAGTTGGTTTTGCAGGGTGTCTGGTGAGAACCCATGCCATGGTTTTAGATAATAGAGATGACTCATGGGCTTTTCTGCCCTTAGATTACTGTCTTTAGCTTCATTTTTGTGTTTTTGGAGCAGATTTTTGGGCAAAATGAATGCACTGGTTGCAACAAGTAGAAATTTTAAGCAGGCTGCTAAGCTGCTGGGTTTGGACTCTAAACTGGAGAAAAGTTTGCTCATTCCCTTTAGAGAGATCAAGGTGAGGAACCTGGCACAGACATTTTTACTCCCTCAATCAAATTTTCTTTCTGATCCTTTTCCCTCTCTTTACTTCTTAGTTCTCCCAACGGTACTGCTTATGCTTTTTGATCTGCATGTTTAATCATCCTACTCTCCAGTCTGTCACTTTTAGGTTTTTGATTAGCTTGCCATGTATTGGATCACACTTCAATTTCACTGAAAGAGGTGCAGTAATCAAGTTGTAACAATTCCAGCAATGTCTGCATTTGTTTCTATTCCTTTTAATCCTTTTGTCATACTCGAAATATCTATCACTGGAAAGATTTTCTCACTTCAACACATTTCACATACTTGTGAATACTAGATTTAGGTAGAGCCTCATAAGAAATATACATTTTGGTGTGTGTCTGTGATAAATATATGTCCTTCACATGCCTTCAATGATGATGCAAAATGTTCCAATCTCATCATGATGCATTTCTCTCTGGCTTTAAAATGATAATTAAATGAGTTGTGCAACTAATTGAAGTGAATAAGAAAACTAATGTGAAGCAATTTATTCATCTTAGTTAGATCAAGATTGAAGCCGACCCCCAATAGTTGGTACTTGGTACATTACAGCTTGTTATTGTTGTAGTTAAACTGAGATTGAATCGAGTCTCACAAAGTTGTTGATCAGTAAATTTGTTCTACTTGTTACCAATCAACTATTTGATAGTGAATCATCATCTTAGATGATTGTTGTATAATACAGTAATATTTCTTCCTTAGGAAAAAGATAAAGAGTAATGTAAGAACTATGTAAAATTTTTTACAGCATCAATATTTTACTGCAGGTTGAGTGCACAATTCCAAAAGATGATGGTACTTTAGCATCTTTTGTGGGATTCAGGGTGCAGCATGATAATGCTAGGGGTCCTATGAAGGGAGGAATCAGATACCATCATGAGGTGGGTGTGCATGTCAAGTTTCCATTCTTATTCCTGTTGGATCTTTTGTCATGTATCTTGGCATTTGCATAATTTTGTTCTATCATCGCTTTCTCTTAGTATTTGTCAGAAGCATAATTGGCACTGTATTCATATTTGTGAAGGCAATGCGACTATAACATATAATATCTGGAGTTCTAAATGACACTGGATGTATTTTTTGGAATATTGACTTCTAATATCTCCATGTGTTGTGAAAATTAAAGAAATAAGTCATTAAACAAAACTTTCTTCCTAATGAATTGCATCCGACAAGGTTTTTTCCTCGTTATAGATAAAAAAAAACAATTATTTGTTGCTCATAAAATTTTGTTGCCTCTTTTAAGAATAATAGTAATTCATGTCATTGGTCATTTACCAAGAAGTTTGGGCCCAAGTGGTACTATTATTGTGCATATTTCAAGATTCACTCTCTTGCATGTGAAACAGCAGTTCATTGTTGCATTCTATCTCCAAAATATTTGGTATTTACTGAAACATAGATGATGGAAGAATGTATTTCACCTTCTTTCCACTTGTAGTTGTAGCATTTACCTGATGACCTGGACTCAGTTCACAATGCCACATTTAAGCAGCCATGGTTGTGTCGTATGATTATTCTTGAAGACAAATGAAGATCACTGGCTACTCCTGAATGATAATTTCACTCATTACTTAGTCTACTAAAAAGTAACAGGAAGCTTACATATGTAAAAGGAAATAATTCTTGGTGTAATAAATTCTTGAAGTAAGTGCACCGATTGTTGGACTTTTCTCCATACACCTTGACAGTTTAACTTCTACAAGAAAATATTTTATGTAACCTACTTTGTATTAGGCTATCATGCTCATTCAGACTACATGGAAATGTGGGTTATTCTTTAAGATGTTTCTTCTTGAAAATCCAGGATTGTTGACAAGGGCGAGTCCATACTACTTGAGGACACTAAGTAAATAATTTGAACTTTTAAATTTTTTTATTTAAATTTATCGATTGGTCTTCCCTGCTTACAAAGCACTTTATAGTTGTAGGTTATATTAAATCCCATCCTGTTTTATTCCAATGTACATCATAATCAGGGATTTTTATTAAATTCATTCACTCATTAAATTTTATGTGAATACTGCAGGTTGATCCAGATGAAGTTAATGCCTTGGCACAATTAATGACTTGGAAAACAGCTGTAGCTAATATTCCATATGGGGGAGCTAAAGGTGGAATAGGATGCAGTCCAGGTGAACTTAGCCGTTCAGAACTTGAGAGACTTACTAGAGTTTTCACGCAGAAGATACATGATTTAATTGGCATTCATACTGATGTTCCAGCACCTGATATGGGAACTAACCCACAGGTTATTTGTTTTAGTTTCATTTTTCTTCATGATATTTCATGAGCATATATTTTCTATCTGGAAAATACTTATCTAATTTTTGTTTTCTGAGAATGACAACAGACAATGGCTTGGATACTCGATGAGTACTCAAAGTTTCATGGCTACTCACCAGCTGTTGTGACTGGAAAACCTGTTGTGAGTACACTGATATGAAACCACAACTTCTAATACCTTGTGTAACTTTAAAGTTGTATCACATTCCACTTTCGATGTAGTTCATAATTCAAATATAGAATTATTGTTGGTTATGTACCTAAGAATATCTAGTTATACACAAAATGTGTTAAATGCTGTGCAGTAGGATGAAGAATGTTAATTGAGGTTTCTGTAGATTTGGCACTGCTGAGTTGCAGACCCCATTCGAACCCAAGGATGTGACAATGGCCCTTTTTGAATGAGAAATAGATCACATAAAAGGATGGGAAATAGTATAAAGTTCACTTAAATTTTTCAGAAAATAACTTTCTTAACTGAGAAGCCTTTTGTCACGCAAGATAATTTCATATATGTGGATATGATATGCGAATCTATTGAATTTGACCTTAGAGAACAATGTTCTGACTTGAGAATGCCCTCACAAACAACTAACAAAGAACAGTTTTAGCAACTGACAGTTGGGGAACTCATGCCACTGATAAAAGTTTCTGTTTATGTAAGGTTTTTCCCATTTTATAAAGGTTATCTGTGAGCTTGTTTTTTAAGTTTTTCGGCAATCATGGAAATCTATTCTGTTGAAAAATCAACTTAGATCTCTCTAATGTAAACTTAACAGAAGTTAAGCAGGAACCATACAAATATTAAAAAACAATTAATGATTCAAGATTTCTTTTTTGTTACTAATAGTTCTCGAAGTGTGATAATGATCTATCCTACAATCTTGGTTATTCTTTTCCTTTTACTTATTTCTATTTATTAATGGCAACTTTTTCTCTAGAAAACATGATTAATGACTTTGTCAACCAAGATAAGATGGTTGGTATGATGTCCTTTCTGTTGAAAGGACTGCAATATTAAAGCAATCCTTTGAGAAGAAAATATATTATACTTGTTATGTTTTTGTTACATCTAGTTATTGCTTCATAAAATGTGTTCCCCATCACTTTTGAGGAAAAATTACTCTCTGTTCTTAAACCAACAAATTACTCAAGGTGATTTCTTTACTGAGAGAGTAATTCTTTCAAAGTTTTTTATTATTCTAGAGTTTATTGTTCCTTTTCCATGTTTATTGGTGATATTTTCTTTTCTTTTTCTAGGATCTTGGTGGATCACTTGGGAGAGAAGCAGCTACTGGAAGGGGGGTGCTGTTTGCAACAGAGGCCCTGCTTGCAGAGTATGGAAAGAGCATTAAAGATCAGCGCTTTGTAATACAGGTAAATATATATAACTTGTTATTCATATGTGGAAACGAACCATTTGCAAACATGAAAGAAGAGCCTGTCCAAATAGTGTGAACCATCAACCTTGGAAGATCAAAGGAGGTCAAGTTTAGTATCCTATTTAATATGATGAACACATAAATTTTATGAAATGAAAGCTTTCTGATAGGAATCTACTTTGCTAGCATTGAGTATCAATAGCTTTATGGAATCAATTATTTAACTCAAAAGTGTTATTTGATTTCAAGTAAACAAATTGTTGAAAGACTTGTCTCTTAAGTTGTTTAATACATATGAATCATATTCTTTGGTTATGAATGATTACATTATTGATACCAGTGTATAAAAGTGTTCTATGTGGTCTTGTATGGGAAAAATGCAAGTTAACTGGAAATTACTGGCTAGCAGTCTGAGCCTCTTACTGCCTAGTACCTGAACCTACTTTTTTATCCTCCAAGTACAGAGACACTTCTTAACTTCTTTTAATAGTTTAGTTGATCAATCTTCTGTTTATGACACTGATGCACAACAATTATTGCTGATGGATTAATCTTGTAAATTGAAGTGGATTATAAAGGTTAAAAGATGTGAGGGTCGGTCAAGGAAAATGATTTAAATAAGATTATGAGATCATGTATAGATCTTCTTCTGTATCTGATTAAGTGGTAATGATCTTAATAGCTCATTTTGTTCAAAATTTAGGGCTTTGGTAATGTTGGTTCTTGGGCGGCCCAACTTATCAGTGCAGCTGGTGGCAAGGTGATTGCTGTTAGTGATGTTACAGGGGCAATCAAGAACAATGAAGGTTTGGACATTGAAAAACTACTAAAACACTCTGTGGAGAATCTAGGAATCATAGGCTTCAGTGGTGGAGAATCAATTGATCCGAGTTCCTTGCTAACTGAAGATTGTGATGTTCTTATTCCAGCAGCACTTGGGGGTGTGATAAACAGGTTATTTCGTTTATGATTTTTGGTCCTTCCTAGGGATGACTAGCCTACTTGTAATTCTTGAAAAATAAACTGACATCTTCAGCTAACAGAAACGAAATTATGCTTCTCCTTTCTTGATAATCTTCTAATTTTACTTGTTAATCTGACATCATTTTTTTTATTATTCTTTTGACTCTTATGCCTCTCCAAAGGGAAAATGCTAATGATATAATGGCCAAATTCATCATCGAGGCAGCAAATCATCCAACTGATCCAGAGGCTGATGAGGTGATAACCAAGTTACAAGATATTGTTTAGATCAAGAATAACTGCTGATGGATTTGCTAGTATTTTGGTAATTTTTTGCCCTTCTGTTTTAGATCTTATCAAAGAAAGGTGTGGTTATTCTTCCGGACATATATGCAAATTCTGGTGGTGTTACTGTGAGTTACTTTGAGTGGGTTCAGGTTAGTGGTTAATTTTAGTCCTGTTTATACATTTTTTTTCAAAAATTTGACCTGTAAAGATACTAAACTGAGTCAAATAAGTTTGGTTTCAGATTTTAGATGTGACTCATCGGTAAATAAATATGGATTAAGTAGATAATGGAAATCGCTAAAGCATTCCATGAACTTGATTTAGCATTTTGTGACATTTGTCACTCATGGTAACTCTGTAAGAAATAGGAGTGTTTCTGGATGCCAACATATTAATATAAAATGTCTTCAAGCAATGACTCTTAACAGCTTGTTCTTATGGGATTTGTGAACTACCAAAGAGCAGTCAAGATTCCTTCTGTTTGGTAAATGTGACAACTGCTGTTTTTTTCAACTAAACATTAGTCTCTGTTAGAAGAAAAGCATGGGACTTTCAGCTGGTGGAGTTGCCATTAATGAAAATTGCAGCTTTTATGCAGTGCCAATTCATTACCTTAACATAGATCATATTCAGATGATGTATAATAACCTGAGTCTTAATGTCTCCGCAAAAGAGACATAATAGCTTCTTGCATGCTGGAGTTCTATTATGCAGCACATAGTATAAAAGAGTTGTCTTTACTTAGCCTATAGGTTATCATCTTAACTCTTGCATTTCATCAACTCCTTTAGTTTGGCCTATATGGCCCTCATATTTAGATCCTTAGACTTTGGGCTCATCAAACAGACAACAACAACATAGTCCTATTTTGTGAACTGAGGAATACTCTTATATGGGACTACTAGAGGGAGGTGAATGCTTTAATGTTTATCGCATACTCCTATTCTTGTACCACGGGCAGTTAACAAAATTCTGAAGCATTGTTTTCCCTTTGCATTCAGAATATCCAAGGATTCATGTGGGATGAAGAGAAGGTTAATGCTGAGCTCAAAACATACATGACCAGAGGCTTCAAAGACATGAAGGAGATGTGCAGAGCACACAACTGCGATCTCCGCATGGGAGCATTTACCCTTGGAGTCAATCGAGTTGCACGAGCAACCGTTCTTCGAGGATGGGAAGCTTGATGGCAAGGTTTTCCTTTTCTCCTCGTCACAGCAAAATAATAAACCCACAGTTGCCATTTAGAGAATTAGTTTGTGCCTGCTTCTGATTCAATGTAGTACGAGGCTGGGTCTGTTTAGTGGTCATCAATTAGCGATCTTGATGATCTTTCTTCTTTCCTGAAAATAAACTGTGAGCATCAAGCTGGTTTTGTGCAGGGCCTTTATGATAAGAGGACCTGTGTGAAGCTTGCTTTAGTTGTTTGTGTTGTTGAATTAACTCAGTGATGAAAGAAATGAGTGGAAAGAAATTGGCAAAAGTTGCAAACAATCTGAACAGTTGTCAGGTTTATGACATACAAGTGAATTGTCCCACCAATCTGGCATTTTTTGAGGACTATAGTTTGGGTATGTGCAAGAATCCCATCATCCATACATGGCACTTTTGATGAACTCAGGATTGGTGCTTGAGAACAGAATTGATTGATTTCGTGCATGCTATTTTACAAGTTAGACAAACCACATGCCTAACAGCTCTCCATTGGAAGCCTCCAATTTTAAATGCAAATATAAGAAATGCATGAGATGCTCAAATTTTAAATGCAAGGAACAGAAGGTCTTGACAACCAGCAAAGCTATGAACATGCAGCATCATAGTCAGATCAGATGAGCTTGTAATAAATAGTTCATTCCCCATAGAATCAGGGATAAATTTTCCAAGGTTTTTGGTTGCCTGCATTTTAGATTCCTCAAGTTGTCAACAACTTACAGAGATCATGCACAATTGTGCATATGTTTTCCCTTATTGCTTCCTTAGTTAAACTCTTATTTGTCATCCTCATTAATTGCTTGCTACCCTGTTAGGAGCCACACAGGTTCATTTGGGATCAGCTGCCACTGCTAATTCACACCCAAAAACTCTTACATATGACATAATGAATTAGCAGTGGCTACAGTTTTAATTATTATTACATCCATCTACAATCTTACTTTAGATGATTTGACAATGACACCACTTAACAAGATCATGCAAATCTTGAAATCTCTGCAGGAACTTTTCATTGTCTGAACTGTTCTTCCCTTGTACTGCAATTGACTTTTGTTGCCAAATTGCTTTCAGCTACTTTCACCCTCCTCTGTCTTGATATAAATATTCTCATGGACCATTAATTAGAGTCAAATTAATTATATTCTGTTCTATCTGACCACAACCAGGAATATAAACCAAGCCATGTGGAGCTGGCACCCACCCAATTTTCTACCTAAGAGGAGGGTGATGTGCCAACTACTGGATTCCACCTACCATTGTTTTCTCACTGGTTCACCTGTTCTGATTCATCTTGTCTCTAATGCGACCCATAAGATCATGATGCAGCATGCTTCTGATTTGTCTTGGTTACTGATGCTTTAATTATATTGTCATTATCTTGACACAATGATGTGTGACTTGATCACTTCAAAGATCTGAGGATAGCAATTTATGACATTTAGACTGATACCAAGTCTTTGGACTCTTTTCTTAGTCTCCATGTGTGGATTTTGATTCGTGGAGTAAAAGAAGTTCAAATGAAAAAGAACAGTTCCCTGAGGAGATTGGACATGTTCTTGGCAGGTAAAATGGAAGTTACAAGCAGCAATAATAGCAAAAAGAGAATGAATGGCCTAATTCCGAGCCGACCGACATGAATGCTACCCACGCTTGCGAGGAAGAAAAAGAAAGCGGCTTCACTGTTATGGCTACCGAATCGGACACTCACCGATGGGAAGTAAAGGGGGCAATGGACTTTGTCGGGTTCCTGTAAGTGTTCTCTTTGTTACTTCCGGCGGTGGTTAAAAGAGCTTCCCGGCGTGGTTCATCGCCCTCGCTTTGACTCTGGTTTTATGCTTCACGTTCGCCCACGTTCCTGATTTCTCGAGGAGTTACCATCTCTTCTCCTTGGTCCAGTTATTTCCCTCTTCTCTTGGTTGTAGCTCCGCCTATGTATCTTTGTTCTTCGTTTCCTGGGAGTTTTCCTCTTTGTGCGGGTTAAAGCGATCGGAAAACTGCAGCAAAATCCAATCTTGATTCCGGAACTTGGCTTTTAAGAATCCGGGATTTCATTTCCTGGAGGAAAGGTTGCTCCTTTTTGGCGCTTGCATTGGGTTCCAAGGTTCTCCGATCTTTTTTTCCTGGTTTTGGGTCTTGTTGGGTGATTTCTGTCGAAGAAAATTAGTCTTGGCTTTGATTAAACATATGGATCTTTGAGGGCATTTATTTTCGAGAATTCTCTTCTTCAAGTCATGAAATGGGTCTTTGTACTCGCTTCTGATTGAAGGTTTGGGTTTTGAGGGCATTTCTTCCCAAGATTTCCTCTTCTGGATCGTGAAATGGGCTTTCAATTGCTGAGATCTGACACGAGGGTTTCATCCTGCAATTGCCACTATCCTCTCGTCTGGTGCTCGAAGTCGTTGGTCTGCTATTACCCGCCTTGCCTTCCAAAGTCACAGTGGGAATATGCCCAAAATGTTACTACCAGATCAGCTCCAGTTCCCATTGCTTTGGAGGAGAAGCACTCTGATGACAAGGTTGCGATCGAGCAGAATAGTTCAGAGGATGGAAAGGTTGAGATCTTTCTGAAGAGCAGCCTAAAGAAACCAAGGGAAACGGATTCAGAACAGGTCCGAAAGGGCAATGTCAAATGGATGGACTTGTTGGGGAAGGAACTTGCTGAGATCAAAGAATTCGAGACAGAGTAAGTTTCCTTTTATCATTCTATAGTATGATGCCTCATAGAATGGTTCTTGTTGCTTCAATCTTTATGAGTTTGACAGATTTTGGATTCAATTGTTCCAAGTACATTTCTGGTTAGTTGAATTTTAGCATTCCTTAATTCTTAGCTAAATTTGAAGTTATTGTATTTCTTTCAATGGTCAAGAAAAGTTGCCATCATGAACATGGTTTGAATATTTAAAGAAACATGCCTTCATTAGGATTGATTGAAGTGTAATTTTGTTTCTTTGTGTATATTGCTTTCAACACTGTCATAATCACACTCCCAAAAAAAGACTTATTTGTTATTCATATGTGTTATTCTCGGAAGCCGTTTTCTGTGTTAGTGGTTTATTATTTCAAGAAACTTGGCCGAAGACATATTGTGCCTTTGCTTTGCAACTATATGGCATGTTTCGTAAACTTATGATGAATGTTCTATTTTTAACAACTTGCTAGTTGTTCCAGAAGTTTCTCGATGTCACTTTGGATGTTGTTCTGTGCTCGAGTGTCGTCAATGCAAGGTTACATTTCCTAGTTGAAGACTTTCACTTTGTTGCTACGGTTTCGGCTTGGCCCTTGGCATTTTGGTTTAGCTAGTTTTAGTGCATTGTAGGTCTCTCTTGAACCTGCCTGTAAATGGTTTTAACCTCATTTTAGACTCGGTCAGAAATATCGATAATTGTTTGCAAATGCAAATGTTTTTTGTATGCATATATTTTGCGAATGCCTATCGATTGTTTGCAAATGCATATATTTTAGTTGCACCTTTAGCCTCTGCCAAAATTGTATCTTATTATCGGAGTATTACAAGAATTTTTTTGGCAAAGGTTATATGTATGGAGTATGGGTACAAAGATTGGTTTATTGTGATTCTATTTTTTCATGTTGAGCGGAAATAAGAACAGGTTTAGATGGATATGTAATATCAATTAACTTATCCTTGTGCTCTAAATACTTCAGTATTAGAAATTGCTGTATCAGTCATCATTTACGGTGGTTACTAAACTTCGAGGAGCTTCTTTTAAGGATTGCAAAAAAAGAATGAAAGTTGGTTAACCTGGATGACATTGCTATTTACTTGCTAAACCAACATAATACTGAGGTTAACATGCAATCACAAACCATACGGAAATAGTTCAGATCTGATACTGTCTCTGAGAGTATACAGAGTTGACCTAATAAGGTCAAGATTGATGTAGTCTCACAGCTAGCATACAGCTGGAATCATGTGGCCCTTATTGGTTCTGCAACACATTTTCCTTAATTCTTATTGAGATCCTTAACATGCTATTGTGTCACAGTTATGTTGACACTTGTTTGGATTTACCTAATATGGTATAGAGAACTTCTATATAATTTGAGTTATATAGACACATTTACTCAGACAAACTTTGACCAAGGTCTATGCAGCTAATTATGAACATGTAATGACTCTTCCTTCATGACTAACCTTGTGTAATATGGAAAACATGGTGAACTTGATATCATGTTCATCTTACTTCAAGGCTCCATTGACTTGGTTCAACAGTTATCAGGAACAGTGGCTTCAGATTCCATTACAATCTTATTCTGTTGAGAAATTTGCGAATTACTTATATAGAGAAAACGGGAAACATTATGTTGGTTGAATTTGGAACATCCTTATGCTGGAAAGAAGGCAGAAGGTTAGTGGGTGATTTTTTTCATCTTTCCATAGAATTTGATTTTATCTGGTGAATTACGTGCTTGTTATCCGCTTTGGTTTTTGTTTTATGAGGTGATTATAAATATTGGTCGGTTATCCTTACCAAACTTCTGCATTTTCATTAGACATTCTGTCTGTGATGAGGTTCTTCATAAATTACACTTCAGAGACTTCATCTAATCATTCTATATAAATATGACTACTAATTTTCATGATGATCCGATGACTGATTGAAGTTATTGTCTGCTGAATTTATATTCTGTGATCTGAATACAGTCTTTTCTTGCTTATAGTGAGTCTGAAGAGCCAGAGGATTACACTGATGGCGACACGGCATGCATTTGTGTCATTCAATGAAAACGATTTACTTCTCTGAAGTCTTCATGGAGAACACCAAGCGAGTAAACATCATCCAGCTGCTACAAAAATCCACTCGATGATCTGATTCTGCATGAAACTCACCATCGAGAACTGACCATGAGCCATCAAGCACCCAGCTATCCTGCTCCTTTCGGTTCCCATTCGCATCAACAAGTCGAAGTTAAATGCCAAGGAGATGCATCCAGCTCCAGAGTGGCCCTGAGTTGGAAGTGAATGTGAAAGCTAACAGGAGGATCTATCAGTGCCCAGGTTATCCAGCTTGATGGCAGATGCATTTGAAGTTATCCTATGTTGGATTTAATTGGAACTGATTTTTTTTTCTTTTTTCTTTCCTTTTTTTTGGAGGGGGGCATGAAATCATAGTTGTTGTGTTGGTTGTTCTCTCGTTATGGAGCCTTCTGAACTCTAAATGCAATCTGTTGAGACTTCCAGCTGATTGCAGAAACTTGACATTAGAAAGGCTTCTAATCAGTGAAATATGATGCTGTGACCTTTATGTGTCGACTGCAAGGTTTGGTTACAGTCCACTGTGCTTCGCACACAGCGCCTCCATCTCTCTCGCCACCTCTCCTTCATCTCGTCCGCCGGCGGCGAAGCGGGTTTGACGCAAATATGGTTACGTCGAGGGGTATATGTGCGAAATGCACAGGCATTATAGATTTGCCTGGTGATTCGGAAGGAGGTTTGGGACCCACATGGACCCTCCAAGAACGTGGCGAGCCATCGGAAGGACACTGCACCCAACACAGCGCAAAATTTTCACGTGCGTACCACGTGCCGACCGCGTCCATTTTAAGCCCACGGCTTGGAGCAAAACCCATGCCCAGCTTCCGGTTTCATACGGCGGCGATGTCGTCGACGGAGCAGTCGCCGTCTCCTCCTCTTCCCAATCGAAGCGCCGAGGTCCGGCGGGACGCCATCTTCGACCGTTGGGTCCTCATATCCCCCGCACGCGCTCGCCGCCCATCCGACTTCAAGTCCCACTCGCCCGCCTCCTCCTCCGCCTCCGGAAACCGTAACCCTAAGCCCTCCTGCGCCTTCTGCGCCGGCCGGGAGGGCGAGTGCGCGCCGGAGATCTTCCGCGTCCCTCCCTCCTCCTCCGCCGACTGGAAGATCCGGGTCATCGAGAATCTCTACCCCGCGCTCCGCCGTGACGCCGAGCCTCCGGACCCGAGCGATGACCTCGCCGCCGCCGGCACGGGGAGGTGCGCCGTGACCGGGTTCGGATTCCACGACGTGGTCATCGAGACCCCGGACCACTCCGTCCACCTGCCGGACCTCTCCCCCGAGGAGGTAGGGGAGGTGCTCCTCGCGTACAAGCAGCGGATCTTTCAGCTCGCGCGCCTGGGATCGATTAAGTACGTGCAGGTATGTAATTGAAGCTGGAAATTTACAGAATTGATTCATTTGTTGTGCAATTAGATGGCATCCTTCTGAATCGTTGGGAAAAATGGCCTTTTTGTTCCCCTTTATTTGTATAACTTGAGACGCTACCAAATTTGAATCTGATGCTTGAAACAAGAAGTCATTTGCATCTCGCTAGTGATAAGAATATCCTTGGTTTGTGATACATCTTCTGAGCAAGTGGGCTGTTAAACGATAACTTTTTCTTATTTGCTTTATATCAGGTTTGTTGGTTTTATGAAGCAAATGTTTATGTTATTCGTATAATCTCTTGAACTGATAAACCTTTTTTTGTCAATGGTGGGAAAAAAAAAAGGTATTTAAGAACTATGGTGCATCTGCTGGAGCATCGATGGCTCATTCGCATAGTCAGATCATGGGCCTTCCCTTGGTTCCTCCATTGGTTTCTTCTCGTCTTGATAGCATGAAAAAGTTCTATGATATGACAGGAAAGTGTAGCCTGTGCGAGGTTCAATCTGAGGATATTTTGGTCTGTGACACGGTCCATTTTTTTGCAATTGTTCCCTTTGCAGCTTCGTATCCCTTCGAGGTGTGGATTGTACCTCGTGATCACACTGCACATTTCCATGAAATAGATCATGAGAAGGTAAGGTTTCCTGATCTATTCCTTCTACATATGTTGGGTTTGTTAATGTCTCCTACTAACTTGTTAAGTAAAATCTATAGTGAATGGTTTCTTCAACACATAAATTTAGAAGTGTAATCAATAGGGAACTGAATCCCGTTAGAAATTTGCAAATATTTGTCATATTTCTAATTTATGCAAAAGAAGTTTCAGCATGGTTGAATATTCCCACTCTTCCTTTGTTTTCTAGATATGTGGGCTTTATTCACCTGTTCATTAACATTTACTGCAATCCATAATGAGTGGCTTTTATATGAGTTGTGTAGACATAAGTTTCCACATGCTATTACATGTATTTGAATGCCTGATTAGGAAGTTGAAAAATCTACAAAATCTGGTGGATGATGCATGGTTATTTACAAAGACATGGACTTTAGACAAAGATAGGTAGTGTTGTTCCTCAGGAGAGTTGGATTTTTCTCCATCTCTTACGAGTGTTGTTGCCATTTGGTTTTCCTTGGATATGCTCTAGTTTTAAAAGTTTATTGCTTATGATGACATGAAGTCTACCGAGCCTCTAAATTCATATATCAATGTTTCTGCTGGTTACAATTAAAATGAAATTTATTTCAATGCACAAACAACTATTTACTCCTCAATCTGGTCTTAAAGTTGGAAAAAGAAGTCCAAACTGATAAAAGCATGAGGACAGAGGATGAAACAAAATTGTCAAATAAATGAATAGTTTGTCCCTACCTCTAATCCATTGTGACTGTCTTTTAAGTACAGCATAGGATAACACCATAAATATGCTGGTGGAAGGAAGACGCGGAGACTCTGCATCCGATTATTGTTATATGTTATTTTTGGCAGTGGTAAAATGAAGTGAAATTCCACATAGGTTAATTATACTATTCATATGCATCATACATATTGAAGAATCCTATTTCTTGGGACCTAGCCCATCAGGAAAGACCTCGTGTCCATGAGGAATAACCCTGATTCAGACGCACATTAATGTTCACTGGAGGTTCATCTTTTTCCCAATGTTGTTGCAATAGATGGGCCTTAATGACTGGACATGTAATCTTACTTGCCATTATGAATCTGTGGTCAGAGGCTTGGCTCTAAAAGCAGTAAACAAATATTTGAAATCAAATGCCATAACCTGGTATTCTGTTACACTATGGTGACTTTTTGCTGTTGTGGACAGGCTGTGGACCTCGGTGGCCTGCTGAAACTTATACTCCAGAAGTTGTCCAAGCAGCTCAATGATCCACCATACAACTTGATGATTCAGACAGCACCATTTGACTTGTCAACCTCCTGTGCACCTTACACACACTGGTTTTTGCAGATTCTTCCTCACTTGAATGTTATAGGGGGTTTCGAGATCGGGAGTGGATGCTTCATCAATCCTGTTTTCCCAGAGGATGCAGCGAAGATCTTGAGAGAAGTTGATTGCTCAAAATAAGTTCATCTCTTGCCTGATCACTAATTGTATGAATAATTCATTCAGAAAAAGAAGCTCTTCCAAAGGTTGTTTTCATGGCTGTTAACAGTGAGAGAAATAATTTCCTTGTATGAATTGAGTTGCCCAGAAGGGGAACGATGCAGGAATTATCTTTGCATCATTCAATTATCACACTTCTAATGTATCTTTGGAAGCTGACCTTGTTGCTGAGTGCATTGAACCCTAATATTAATAACTTGTATACTTGCTTAAAAGAACTGATTCGAGTTTCCAGCTTCGCGTATTGGGCTAAACAAATTGATTGATCATTCATGGTCCAAATATGAGCTAGCAGTTTATTCATGTGTTGAATCCTCATTTTAGTCTGTTGCAAGGTGAAAATTCATTTTGCTAGATTTTGTCGCTACTGATTGTTGAACAATAATATACACTATGGAATTCTTACAATGTGGTTGGATTCATGATTTCTATTGGTTTATGTATCACCCAATGAATTAGTGTTTGTTGTCTTCGAGGTTTTAAATGTGGTAAATAACAAATAAAATTTATATTTTAAATATTAAGTATTGTTTGGTAAAAAAATTGTATTTCAAATGCTCATTCAATACTTTGTTACAAATTTATCCTTCCAAAATTTTGATTTTTATTTAAAGATAAATATATATTTTTATTTAAATTAATAAGTAAATAAATAAAAAAGTTTACATGGTTTAAATATAATAAATAAAAGATATATTCTTATAAATTAATATAAAATATTTTTTATAAATAAAATTTTATTTTGTAGAAAATAGAAATCATATTAATTTCTCATTAAATTATTTTAACAATCTTATAATTTTAGATAAAGTCACAGGATATTTTTAAATTTTAAAAAGTTATATTAACATCCTAGCAAATGCTGAAATACTAATGTTATGTGGGTGTACATCAGCATAGCATTTGAGCATTTCCAGATCCAAATTAGATATGATTTTAAATTTCTAGATCTAAATTAGATATGATTTTAAAATAATTTATCAAGCATTAATTCATATTTGAATCGTGTTTTTGATTTTCAATGCTCATTTCAAATATATTTCCGAACGCAGCCGTACACCCCTATATATATATATTGAGAAGAAAAAATTTCGACATCTCATAATCTAAGCAGTTGCATAGCAAATGGAGCTTACTGCTCATACATTGGGCTAACATCAATTAATTCTCTATTTCTACATTTCTCGATACATATACACGAAAAAAAAGGTTAAAGTCGACGTTTGGGCAACTTCAACATAGTGGCTTTCTTATTATCCAAATAAATCCAAGAACAATGTTGAAGGATCAGGTCAGATCTAACACCCCAAGTCAGTGAGATGACTAAAAATCTCATCAAATGTCATTAAGATACTTTGAAAACAATCTCACATTAGGAAGACAAGGATGCATCAAACTGACAAAATTAGGGGAGATCTTCCAATCTCCCCAAAGATAATGGACACCAATGACTGCACATATTATGAAGATAAAGAAGGTTCTCCTTTTAATCCAAATAAAACTAAGGATGATTTCAATCATATATCTGAAAAATTAACATTACAATGGAAGGACAAGTAAGCTATACAATAATCATTCCATATATCATAGGAAAAAAAGAAAAAAAGCAGCTGGTATTGCAATTTTTTAATCCAATTCCCAAGATCTTGAGAGCATTTCAAGGCTCCAAATAATCAGGAATTGAGTGACACAATTGCTGGTCTTGTGGAGAACAAAAGATGCTTAGTCTTTGTTGAATATTCCAAAAAGAGATTTGATAGCATTGATGGCATTCTCATTGATGAAGGACTCATCAAACTTCTTCATTAGGGGTTCAAATTCCTCCGAAGCACGTACGTTGGCCAGATCAGGATCATTGCGTATAGTCTGCAGCATTAAACACATGCATATGACCGTTAAACACGACACTGGCAACAAATGAAGTAGTTGCAGTCTTTTCGTTTTTCCCAACTATCAAAGAAGGTGAAAACCACAAAAGAAAAGAACAAAGAAAATAAAATTTGGCTTAAGTTGTTCCAGTTTCTTCAAACTCCAAATTTTTATTTTTTAGATGCTGTATAACCACTCTTGTTTAAGGATGAAAGAGTTCCTCCATTAGAACGGACCCTTAGAAAACACTCTTTGAACTGCCATTTAGGCTCTATAAACAAAGTCATAATTAGATACTCAAAATCTTCTCTTCTTCTTGCTGTTTTATTAGTGTTGATTTACTGCTTGATTTTCTGAAAAAGTTCTACATAAGTTAATTCATGATTCTACTCACACGAAGGATAATACTTATTGAATACAAGGGTAGAAAATGGATAATTCTCATATGCAAGGATGAGATTTCGCCTTTCTTTATCTTTTAATTTATTTATTTAACTTTTGATGATGCATATTTTTACTATTGTTCGAACAGATGTATCAAAACAAAGAGATGAAGTCGATGGCTTATATCATAAGATCCATGTAAACAGAGTAAGCACTGGAACTACGAGTCTGATTACCTTGAAATCATCGTATCCTGCTACCAGTGCATCTTCTAGTGCCGAAATACCAGCTTGAATCTGCAAGGAGAGTCATCAGCTCCTGCTTCTCTTTCTGCCGTTTTAGTTATTTGACTAAACTATTTGAGTTTGACTTACCTGATTAAGCTTGGAATAACAGCACGCCACATTGTAGCTTGCTATTGAAGATTCATCTGCCTCAGGTTTTGAGCCCAGCACAGACTCAAACTTTTCCAAAGCTTCTTCATACTTCCCATTCCTTGTACACATGAGGTACCTTAGTCAGACTTCAGAGATGTCGGAGGTGAAATGTCAAACTCATTAGTCAAGCACAGATCTCCATTAACAAGTAATTAAACGATTAAACATTCTCAAATAATGAGGAGATTGTAAATGCCTTGTTGAGCTGAAACATTATTCGTAAAACTGTTCTAGTTGTATTCAATTGTCCTTGTCAAATAATTATGTCAATGTTGTGCTACCAAGATCTGGAACCTGATCATTAGCTGAAATCCTTGTTACACAAGGAACACACATTGAGCTGCTTAGCAGCAACCTACGTCTGAGACGAACCTGCTTCACCTCAAAGGCATATTGGATTAATAGAAGATCTTTGTCTTGTCATTTTAACCTTCTCACATCACTTAAGGATATCATGAATTGAGACTGAAAGGATCGGATTAGATCCATCGATGACTATTGGTTGGTCAGCTTGTGCTACTCTAGCATGAGTATTCTTACTTGCATTATCAAGTGAAAACTCTTTCTATTTGACAAGATTGACTTAGCAATTTAAACAAGAAAATTTGAGGATTTAGTTTCCAGTTAAATCTTATTTGGTGATTTTAACCAACCACATCATACATAGGAGCTACAGGCATATTAAGAACAAATGTATCACCGATGAAATAGCATATTGTGGAAAATTTTACTAATATGAAGATGGGATTACTGATCAGCTGAGCTGAGTATAGTCGGGAACTAGGCATGCTTACTAATATGTCTTTGCGAATAAGATTAAGAACATATAGCCAGTTAACAGTATCTTTCTTCATTGTTTGATTGATATGGATACCATAAAAGGACACATGTTAACTAGTAACAAGAAGATACAGAAAACATAAAAACAAAATAGAATTTGAATTCCCATATTCTTGGTGCATTCTTCCAATTTGACGATAGTGACTTTTCGGTTTTTGATCTTTCTTGGCTTCTGACTTCTCATATATGTTTTTCTCATTCCTGCATTTCTATGCAAAATCATTAATTAGAAAGGTATCATCAGAACTTACTTGTAAAGCTTTAATCCTTCTCGAAGATCATTCTGCCTGCGTTCTTTTTGTTCCTTCTTCCGCAAGTAATTTTGCATCTGAAACAAAATTTTCAAAACAATGCATGCATCAAAATCGGACTGCCGATATATAGAACTATACTTTATTAATACATTTATCCTTAACTAATTAGGAGATTTACACTTGAACATGCAGTATTTCTGATGTACGAGGGACTCATGCCATCCTGGGCATTGTTTCTGTTGCTCAAGTCACAGAGCTACTTGTTATATGAAATGAAAGTCCATAAGATTGAGCAGTTTGTGGCTTAGACTCTGAGAGTTACAATGTGCCTGATAATGAGATCTAAAAGCTGTACTTCATCTTGAAATCAATATAACATTTCATCTACTTCTGTGTAGTAGTTTCGAAACAGTGTGGGGCTCTTAACCTACAATTCCTTTTCCAGAAGTACATTTTAGAACTAACTGACCACCAATCAAGTGTTGTAATCCTGATATGATGAGTAGACCGAAAATATGAGCTGATGTGAAGATGAAGTAGGACGTGGTAGTGATAGGATATTTATCAAGTTGTAGGGATTCTTATAAATGGTACTTACTTGAATTTGCCTCACTCTGTCGCTAATAAACCCAGCATTCCTCTCAGCTCTTATAATTTCTTTCTCCGTCAGTTCACCAGCATCAGGCAACTTTCCTGGGGCATTTCAACATAGCAGGATTTGCGTGCTAGATTACAAGTACTTACAATTTTCTATTCGTCAGACAAGAACTCAAATGCTTGAACAAAAGAAAGAACAATTCTATAACTGTTTCACATGATAAGATAGAATCAGAAAATGGATAAAGGATGCAATGACTACCGGAAGACATTCTCAGCTGATGTTGCTAGCAAATTAGTGCAAACCATTTTGAACAATTGAAAGCTTGGCGAATTGATTTTAAGAATTGGCATCCAGCTGAGATTTTACCTATTATCCTTTTTGGTGCCTATTCTGCATGATTTGTTCTATCAAAATGTTAAAGGCATTGCAAAATCTAAGATATTGTCATTGTATTGGAAGAAATATGATTTGTTGGATTTGTATGTTAAAAGCATGGTTATACTTGCATCGGCCCATAAGAGCTGATAGGTGGGGAAACTCACCATCTCTCTTCTGCATTTTCATGAGCAAGGGACCGATTCGCTGCCGGATGGTGTACATCGTTCTCCCGTACTCAGCAGCCGGCCATATTTCGGTGCCAAACACAGCACTGCATGCCATTTAAGCACTTAGCTCATGTGTGTGTCTGCTGACAATGTACTTGACGCAAACATTGCAGAGATGCACGCAGATTGAACACAAATCTTAGAGAGGGAGGAGAGTTTATGAAAACCAAAAGGACCAATCACTGGCATGCCTGACCAACAAAGAAGAGAGAAAGAACGAACACAGGCAGACGGAGCAAAGGCAACTACACCTTGTGGCAATTACTCTGTCTCCCACAGTGAACATCCCCGACCTATCGGCGGCGCTACCGGGTGCTATCGCATCGATGTAGGTGCCTCCATCACGTCCCTTCACGAACTTTAGCCCATATGGCTTCTCCAATTCAACCTCGTACTCCTCACCTTCTCCTGCTCCGTCCTCCCCACCGTCCGACTTCGATGGCTGAGACTCAATAGCTGAAGAAGAAGAAGAAGAAGAAGAAGAAGAAGAATCCGCTCTAGCAACAAGGCCTCTATGCTTATAGGATCTGGTGCAGGAGAAGTGGGGGAGGAGAAAGGAGGGTGGACTTCTCCTGGTAGGCTGTGCTCTGAAAAGGGAAGGGGATGAACAGAGAGATGGATTGGTGACAGTAGCGATTGACATGACTTGTTGTGCTGCTCTCGCTGGTGCACCTCTTCACCTGTGCTTGCGAAGCGGAGAGGAAGCACCGGAACAAGTGGAGGGGAGGAAGAAGAGGGGAGAGGAGTCATTGGGAAGAAGAGTCATTGGGAAGATCACAAAGGAGTGGCACTGGTGGCTCATGTTTGCAGTTGAGTTGAACACACCATAAACGGAGGCCACACAATCCAGCAGAGGTGAGAGAACATCCTAAATCTAAGCCATCAACGGTGCAACAGTCAGCACAAGGAAATGGTTCCGGATCTGGAATTCATCCACTTCACGATGACAGGTCTGCATCGAATAAATACGAGCCACGTGTTAGAATTTAATATTAATTGTAATCCTTTTGTTACTATTTATAATTTTATTTTAATATTTTAATATTTCTAGAATATTCATTTGACATAAATATCCTCTTTTTCTTCTTTTTCTTCCTCCTCAAAGAATCATGATGACGATTTACGATATCATTAATTCATCAATTTGATGACCCTAAAGCATATCGTCTAAATTATTTAAATCTAAATTAATGGTTAAACTCTGTTCTTGTAACTCAACTTCTTGTTTGTCAAATGGAGAATGAGGACTTGAGGGGAATACAAGAAATTTCCATAGATATCACAGAAGAGAGAATTTGGTTCACAACCCTCTGCATTCTTGCTTTCCTGAACATGGACTAATGCATCTCCCAGAGAATGGTTTTGATCATTCGATGGAAGTCTCAAACACACCTTTGATATGATGGCCTATTCTCATCATCTCTGTTTTTGGTCAACTGTTCATTGAATAGGCATTTGATCTTACACAACATACATGTCATTTTAGAATCAGCTACACATTTATTGTTCTTTGACATGTTAACTGCTTGCACAGCAAAGGGATTCTCTGGAATTGTGATGAGTCTTCACTGCAAGTCAAAACTTTGGAAGACCTCACACTCATAATTGAGGTTGGGTTCAATGGTGATGCTAAGCAGCCTCCCTAACATGTGCTTGCAGAAGCAATTCTCATGGACTTGAAAATGAAGGTCTTTGCTGATAAGCTCCAATATTATTCATGCACAATTAGTTGATCAAAATGCTATAATCAGAGCATGGAGATCATGAAGGATGCTACATCTGCTTGTTAGGTTATAATAACTCACTTCCATACTGATCTTTTCCTACTGGCTTCAACTGTTTCTCTTCTTCATGAATCAACTCTTATTTCAGGCATCATACACAATCTGGTGAGCTTGACATGCAACAGGACTTTATTTTTTTCTTGAGAATTTGCATAAATATGGATTTAATTAAACTGACAAGATTTTATAATCCAACTCCCTATCGATATGTTATATCTGCAACTGGCAGTACTAGATTTCTTGGCATCCTTGAGTGGAAAATTCATAGCCATGAGTAGCAATGCAACCATGTAGATCTATATTTTTCCATAGACTGGATAGAAACCTTGCAAAACTTTCCTCTCAACTTCTGCATCTGGAGAACGATATGATGGTAACTTTCTTAGTTTGTTTGATCGGGAAACTTAGATGTGAACAATGTTCTTTTCATTTTTTTCACTAGGATGAATGGTCTGAGCTACCTTCTCATTCTAATCCATCTTGGATTTCTATTCAACTCCCTTGAATGCGTTAAGCTCAGTATAGGGAGAACTCATTCAGAAACAAAAAACCACTTGCAATTGAGATAAGGATTGCTGTGTTGTAAGCTATGATAAATGACACTAGAGCTGACTTGTAAATGCTGTTGCCATTGGATATGCCAAAGTAGAATTCACTATATCACAAATACAAATTATAAATTTGGAGATTGCTATCTCTTCAGAGCTTCATGAGTCAAGCCTTTAAAGCATTGCTACAAAAAATAAGTGCTGAAATTTGCCTATAACAGGAAGCAATAGCTTTGAAACATGCACTGAATAATTGATATAAAAGAAAAGATAAATGAACTTGGTGTGCCGAAGACTGATAAGTTTGGAAAGAAAAGGTCATGAGCTTTTATATCTTATGAACATTGTATCTGAAAGCAGCACTGACATAACACATCTGAAAAGCCAATCTGATTTTTCAATATGGATGACTGAATGAATTCCAAACTACTTATTTAACATCCTCTGTGGCTAAAATCATTCTCAAACAAAACAAAGAAACTGTAGGAAGAAACTTTCACCAGAGAAACTCATCTCAAGAGAGATGAAACTGAAATAAAACAACAGAAGACAAACAAGGAAAAAATAAAATTGAAAAACAAGAAAAAAATTATATATAAGAAAACGAAAATAGAAAGAAAAAGGAATATATAGAGAAGAGTCCATGCGGAAACCATTATTATAATTAGGCATCATCTTTTGAGGGTGGGACTTGGTGAAATAGCAAGGTTACCGAAAATTGTCTTAAAGCATATTGATATACAACAGTTATAACATATTCTTAGGCTTGCTAAATAGCATAGGGCATTTTGGAGTTCATGAACTGTCTTTTTGCACCATTTTCCAATCACCAGCCGCTCTTAGTGATCTTTCACAATGATGTTTCTATGCAAGTATGCTACATCCAACAAGTTACAATGTCAACAAAGCATTCTCTGTTCCAGTTATACTCCATCTGCTTGTACTCTGAAATATTCATGTATATATGTATATGTATACATATATATATGTATACATATACATATATATTCAAGTGATCGACCTCATTAGTTGATCATCATCTGACTAATACTCAAAAGTCAATTTGGCATGGATACTCTTTAAGGACTCAATATTTGACTATTATGATAATAAGAATATTAAGATTATTTTTTATTTTTCAAGCTCAATTTAGTTTATAGTAACTATGATTGGAAGCAATTAACTTGAGTTCTCTGAATGGATATTAATAGGAGATGTATGTGTGTTGCAATGGAGTTTGAGAGAGTTTCTCATCAACAAGGTCCAAAAAGAGTTTCTTATAGATGATTAGAACATAAACAGCTTAAAGGAAGTCCAGTTTCCTGGCACTAATTTGGAGTAGTGACCATATATTCACAGAGGATTCTTATTGCAGTTGAACCAAAAGAATAAATAAATCTCTTGATAAATATATAAGTATGTAGAGATACAACTATATATATACTGAAAGCAAATGCATGTTCTAGGAATTCATTGATATGCATTCCAACTACATGCTCATCCTTTCCAAGATGCTTGCTTTTTCTTTTGGTACTGACTCAAAATAGATGACTTACTTGATTTAGGAAAGGATACCACACATATATTCTTCCAAAGTTTGAAAAATAACATAATTATTATTATCAATTTTAATATAATATATATGTCCTTTTATATAATAAGATCCTCCATTATATAGGTATCATTATTATTCATCTAGAAAATCCAAGATAATGGCTTCCGAATATGATTAGTTTTAGTTTACTTGTGTCAAAGAAGTATACGGATATTTTTATTCTACCTAAAACATTTTAGCATCATTATAAGAAAAAGCAGAGAAATTGAGCAGATTCCGAATCTCTTAGAAAAAAATATTTAAGTTAGAAAAATATGACTCCTCTGATAAAAATACTTTTGAGTATTTATGTTTTGCCTAACTTATTCAGCCTAAAACTTTTTTTTGGAAAAAATACAAACAAAACTTATTGATTATTTTATGTTTTGGATAAAAAACATGCTTCCTAGAACTATTTGTTACAAACTTGATATTAGTGTTGTTCTATTTAGGTAAACAAGAAACTTTCATATTTGGTTTAAAAAGTCTTTGTGTGAGATCCAAATTTGTAGAATTATTGCCATTCACCATCAAGAAAAAGATTTTCTTATCAAAGATGATGAAATAATTTTGAAAAAAAAGAAAAAGAAATATACTTGGTCCCCCTAAAGAAAAAGGCACCAATGAGAAGAACCTTCCACTTAACAGTCAATTGTTTACATCAATGTATCACTAAAAAAAATAAGATGGAAAAATAGAAGAACCACTTATGTCTTAAAAAAAGTACTTATGGGTTGATGATATGTCATTATATCTCCAAATCCAAAATTGTGAGTGCTTGATAATTGACAGAATACAAGAACCAATAAAATGAAGCAAAGCAATTAATTAGAGAATTTTTTATTTAGCATTATGAAGTTCCTACTAAACTAATTATTTTTCTTAATAAAGTTGAATCTCTATTTTTAAAGGCATGGAACTTCTCATAGGAAAGAAAAAAGAAAGGTACAGTTACATTTCTTACTAACACCAAAGTCCTACCTGTCTCATTAGTGGACTCGAGAAGGATATTTTCGTGGGTCCCTTCTTCTACACAATAACTAGTCAGGAAGATGAACGGGTAACAAATGGAGTAAGTCTTGGAGTTAGAGTGAGGCTCGAGCGGAGCGTCGCGGGCGCTTGCGGTGCTTCTTTATCAGCTTCTCATCGAGACCAAAACCCTCTCTCTCTCTCGCTCTCTCTCTCTTCGGTAGCGCCTCTTCTCTCTCTCTCGTAGGGTTTCTCCTCTCGACTCCCGTTCTCCCTCTAGGGTTTGGGCCATCAGATCCTCGCGGAATCGCGTGCTGCTCGCGCCCCTTCGCCACCTCCAGTTCCGACCATGGCGGCCGTATCCCCCGCTCCTCCTGCTGACCGTATCCTTCCGTCGCCTGGCGAAACGACTCGTAGTTCCTCAATCTGTTTCCGCTTCGACTTCAGCCGTTTCTGATGCTATCCGTATCTCCGTTTCGTTTAGCCGTATAAAGACTGGATTTTGCTCCGCTGATTTTTAGTTTTAGGCGGTTCGGTCGGGTTTTTTGCTTATGTCGGACGCCTCAAGCGTGACGAACGCTCGTTCTGTCGGTCTTTACTTCGAATAGAGGGTTTAAGGTCGTCAAAACGAGATTTTGAACTTTCATATTGATGCTTGGCGGCAGGATTTTACCGTTCTTGATATGTTTATTAGTTGTTTAACACTGTGGACTTCTCCTTCTCGAGAGATTTTGTGCTTGGATTTTATTAGCTGAAGCTCATGAAGCGATGAGCTTGAGCAATCGATTCCTAATTTTTCTTTGGTCTTGAACCATATATTTCATTCACGATCTGAAGACTTATTATATGGTTTCCGACGTTTTTGCTGGTCTTCTGCTTTTGTCTAGTGTTAAGTATCAGTGCATTGTGAAGGTTTACAGTGAATATGTTAACATATTCCTTAACCAATCCGTCACAGAAACCACGGATCTGATGCAGAGGCTATCATTAGACCCTAAGAACAAGGGTAACGATGCTTCGGATGTTGCAAAGCAGGTAACTTTAGCAAATTTGCCAACTAGTCGTTGTAGATCATGGTTGTGCTTTTATGGCACAAAATATGTAAGCTCTGAGTTGGAACAGGGTTAGTATTAATACACTTTTGGATGCATGTACCAGCCTTCTGGAGTTCAGTATGGTTCAGCCAATGGTGGGGAAGTACCAATTGCACCGATCCCAACCTATGAGAGATCTCTGACTCCTCTACTTCAGGAGCATATGGATGCGAGCATGTGCTACTTACCTAATGGATACACTTCATCTTTCTACTATGGAGGTTAAATTGATTTCAACTCCATGAATTTGTGTGATCTTAATGACCCTTCAGATGTGTCAGATTCTATATTATCTTTTTGGTTAAAAGCTTTGTTGATCGCAATTAATGTGCTGTTAACATATATGATTGGTGAAAAATATGTTTCTTCATGACTCTTGATGCTTCTTATGCTTCTGGGTAGAGGAATCACCTAGGTATATCTTACTTCAGGTTATAATGGATTGATGACAGAGTGGGAGGATTATCCTAGATATGCTAACCCTGATGGAGCAGAGGTGCCTCCACCTGTAAGTTGTCTTGAACTTTCTATTTTCAAGTGTCGGTTGTGAATTGTATTGTTAATTTTCAGGCTCGGTGGGTTATTTTGCATGTCTCATCATCATTCTGTTCTGTTATCTATATGTTCTTAAGAGCAAGTTTCTGATAGTATTTCCTGATTATTTTAAGGGAGTTTATGGGGACATGTACCATCATGGGTATGGTTATGCTTCATATGGTCCATATCCTTCTCCTGGTTCCCCAATTCCGACTTTGGGGCAAAATGGTCAGTTATATGGATCCCAACACTACCATTTTCCAGCTACATACTACCAGCCACCAACCCCCACCAGTGCACCATACATGACAGCCCAAACTTCTGGTTCCATTGGGGAGGTTTCCACATCTGCTGCGGCCGACATCCCTCCTATTCCAGCTGATACAGCAAAAGCTATTTCAGATGGAACAACTAAAGCAAGCTCGAATAGCAACAATGGATCAGCTAAAACAAAGCCATTTAGTCCATGTTGTTCATTTGATAAAGGTGCTTTGCCAGGTGGGCGTCCTCCTGCAGGCTTCCAGGATCCAAGGTTTGGCATTGATGGTATGTGGTCACCTGTTCCATGCTCTGATGGTTCAATATTTCCGGATGGGCAAAAGAGACCACCTATAAGTACTGCCTCTCCTACGATTTCACATACTGGCAGCACTACATCTACTATAAACCAGAACCTCCGTCCTCTTCCTCATCTCATGGTATGTAAGGTTTAATACTATCTTGTCTGTTAATAAAATATATCTACATTTTGCTGAAGCGTAACCATATCTGTGAGGAGTTATGCTAACCAATATAGTTTGTGCCTTCAGTAAGTGCCAAAACATTGAAACTAAAGACTTGCTTGCTGCAAGCCAAAAGTTACTTCTTAACCTTCACATGCTTTGTGTATATGCGCTTGGAAAAATTATTAGAGGCAGACCAATTATTTAGTTTGCTTTCATGTAGGACATTGCTTTAGTCTTTCACTAAGGCGTTCTAATTTTTCTGGCAGGGAATACATGGTTCAAGACCAGCAACTCCTGGAATGGTGAACAAGATGTATCCTAACCACCGAATATATGATCACCATGCTAATGGATACAGAAGTGGTCAGGGTTTTCGTTCAGGTATGCATGACTCCAGAATGAATGGAAGATGGGGGATGTCCATGGATAGCAAGTATAAGCCGAGGGGCCGGAGCAGTAACTTCTATGGTTATGGTAATGAGAACTTGGATGGGATGAATGAGCTCAATAAAGGACCAAGGTCTGGTCATTTCAGAGAGCAGAAGGGGCTTGGACCTACAATTACTCTTGCAATTAGGGGGCAGAGCCTTCCTGTAAATGTAAATTCTCATGATACTGACGGAGTTCCCGAAAAAAATCAATACAACAAGGCAGACTTCCCTGAAACATATTCAGATGCCAAATTTTTCATCATTAAGTCATACAGTGAGGATGATATCCACAAGAGCATTAAGTACAGTATCTGGGCTAGCACACCCCATGGGAACAAGAAGCTTGATGCTGGTTATCAGGAATCTAAGCAGAAGACAAGTGGATGCCCTGTCTTCTTGTTTTTCTCTGTAAGCATTAGTTTTGAATGTTAAAATTCTCTCATACTTTTATGTTCTTTCTTGGGATGCTGATTCTTTTGCTATTGATTTATAGGTCAACACAAGTGGACAGTTTGTTGGTGTTGCGGAGATGGTAGGTCAAGTCAATTTCAATAAAACATTGGATTACTGGCAGCAGGACAAGTGGGTTGGTTGTTTTCCTGTGAAGTGGCACATTGTAAAGGATGTACCAAATAGCGTTCTGAAGCATATCACATTGGAGAACAATGACAATAAACCAGTCACAAACAGTAGAGACACTCAGGAGGTGAGGGAGCCTTTTCTTTTCTTTTTTTTTCCTGTTGACCATCTGGAATCGTAATTTTGATTATTTCTGCCCGCATACACTTCAGGTGAAGCTCGACCAAGGTCTTCAATTACTTAAGCTTTTCAAGGAGCTTGTGAGCAAGACATCCATTCTGGACGATTTCAATTTCTATGAAACCCGCCAGAAGATGATGCAAGAAAAGAGAACGAAGCATCAGCAGCTCAAAAAACAGGCATGACCAGATTCTATATCTTTGAGCCTATCATATGCTGGGACCTTATTTGTTGATTTCAACTTATAATAATGCAGCAACCCAAGGGTCATCTGTTGTAATCATCTATGCCTGATTTTCTGGCCGCAGTTTATATACACGAACTTCCTCTCCTAAACAGCTTGAAAATTCTATTTTCTGTTGTGTGATTAAGTTACAATTTTCCTGTTCTCATACATCATTTTAATCTCAGGTCATGGATGGAAAACCAGTGGATTTTGAGGAGAAAGATGATGAGGAAGCATATAGGAACGCAGGGCTTCAGAAGCCCTCGGAAGTGGTTACAATTTTGAAGAAGGAATCTGGCCAGGGTGGGCTTCCACCTGTGGAACATGTGCTATCAGAAAAAAATGGCGTAGCGGCAGCAGCTGGTGTTGCACCCAAGGATGTCAAACCTGCCACAGAGAAGCAGCTCGCGGCTAATGGTGTTGTCAACAGTTGCTAGGTTTTTCCACCCAACCACAAGCAGCTGCAGCTATTGGATGCAACTGCACATGAGTTGCTGCTTTCAGGCGTCTTGACATGTATGCTTCTTGTAGTCTTCCCTAAATCCAGTTCAACATTGATTTTATTTAGGGTTTCCCGGTTGGTGATTGGGCTCTTGGTTTATACTGTATTTTGATGCCTTTTCTTTTCTATTGCAAAAATCTCTAAGGTTATTTGTGGCTTGGGATCTTGTTTCTTTGTCATTAATCTACTTATTGAAATATATATCACAATAAATAATATTACGATTACATTTAAATGATATTATGCTTGCAAATGGATTCAAAAACATCGATCGAATCAGATGTCTCGACAATGAGATTTTAAATCAGCATCATAGAGAAGAAAAATATTAAGATTTTACATCAAGTAGGATTTTCATTGATAGTGGTAGAACATAAATTTGTGTTTCATACATGTCAATGATATTGTAATTATATAAAAATTAAAACACATATCTGAAAGAGTCTTAAAGCATGTTTGGAATTCGGACTTGAATATAAACGATGAACTGCAATAAGATAGTAATGTAATAAAAAAAACTAAAAAAAGTAATTAAAAAAGTTCATTTTTGGGATTCGTGCGGCGGCTCTTAAGCTAATTTGTCAACATATAAAATATATGAAACATCACAAACTAAGATGGCCGCAACCAAAAATATGTTCAGATACTGATTCAACTCCATAAATTTACAGTCACGAGGAACTGATACAAACAACATCGATAAATCTTTGAAAAAGCAAATTAGCATAATTATTTTGAACAACATATCCGATAAAATGAATAGAGCTTTGGGTGAACTGCAAAGCAATCCCTCAGGCATACCAGGCTCAAGCCCATTGCTTAAACAGTCTCTTGGTAGTTTCCAAGAGTGCCCACAGTTGGCTGGTTTAAAGTTGATGAGGAATTATTCAATTATGTAGCTCCATCTCCACTTGTAATCTCTGGATATCATCTACAAAAAAATTACACTTCGGAATAAGAAGAAAACTTCACAAGGAGTTGTTCATTCGTCAGTCAAATCTCTGAAAATTATCTACAGAGTACGATAAAAAAAACAGTGGCCGAGCAAGAATTTTATTTCACCATAATGTAATTGCTATCATTACAGAGAGAATAAAAAGTGCATCTTGAATGAAAATCTTAACTTAAACACAAAACAAAGATAACCAATAAATTGAATTGATAATATCACATAACTGGTGGAACATATAAAGCTAATCACAAATCATCCTCAGACCTCCTTTGCAACTCGATCCCTAGACTTAAATCTTATATTAAAATTTTTATAATTATGAAAATAAAATATCTACCTTCATTTATCCTATCATCGTCGATTTTACCGATGAAAACACAAAAACAAAAGATGATAAAAATAATTTTAATATTCTAATTGATGGTACAACGTCAATGGTGGCAAACGACAACACCACTAAAAACCGATGGTGACTGTTATGGATGAGAAGAGCGACAATGAGAGATGAGGACCGCTTTGCATCTGCATCAACATCAATGCAATTATCGAGCGACCCTTTCGTCGCTCTGCATCTACGTCGAAGTTGACATGATTGCCGAGCGACAAAAGAATTGCTCAACATCTAAGTCAACGCCAACACAGATGTAGAGCAACATCGCTCTGCATCTGCATCAACAGTCCTTTCACCACTCGACAACTACATTAATGTTGACACAGATGCAAAGCAATAAAAAGGCCACTCGAGTGTCAATTATAGATGACTACGATAAGAGATGAGAACCGCTCTACATCTATGTTAACACCAACGCAATTGCTTAGCGACATTTTCACTGACATGCATCTACATCAACATTGACGCATATGTAGAGCGACCCACACCTCTTGTCGTTGCTCTCCTCATCCACAACCACTCGAGCGATCCTTTCGTCGCTCTACATCTTCTTCAACATTGACACAATTGTCAAACGACGGAAGAGCCATCGTATAGATGACAACCCTTTCATTGCTCGACAACTACATTGATGTCAACACGAAACGATGAAAGAGCCACTCGACAACTACGTCGACATCAACGAAGATGCAAAACAACTCTCACCTCTCATCGTCATTCTCTTCATCTACAACAATCACTTATAACACTAACAACACCGCTATCCACCACCATCGATGTTGTCCACCACTACCAACTAGAATATTAAAATTAACTTTTTATCTTTTATTTTAATATTTTTATCGGTTAAATCAACGACATTAAGATAAATGAAACTATATATTTCACTTTCATAAATATAAAAATTTTAATATAATTTTTTTTAAATCTAAGGAACAAGATGTTAAGAAGGTCTAACTATAGCATAAAATCTATAATTAGCCCGAACATATATGAAAATTTTAGTTTAATGTTAAGATACAATTAGACAAAACAATATAACATAATAAAGCAAACTTATAGCCATAAAAATCAACAAAAATAGTTACATCACAATTGACAAGACAACAAACAAGAACATCTGCATACAATAAAGAAAAGTTAGAAAGCTAATTTACTATACTAAAATGCCAGCATTCATGAGGCAACTAGCCATGCAAGTAGCTCGTATCATCTTTTCCTTTTTTTGTAAATGTATCACATGCTAACAAGCTTATTTGTTTCATATTGATATCTTGTTATACCTGTTAAAAGTTAAGTAACCAAAACAATAACAAAACTTGTCATTAGAGAGAATCTAGGAGTCATCAGTGAGGGAGATAACAAGTCTGAATGTTACAAACTAATCAAGGGATCTAATTTTAGGGTCATGAAAATAAAAATTACATACATGGAAATGTAATAAACCCTACACAACTTAAAAATAATCCTTTTAATTGAATGATTTCAGATTGTCGAAGTCCAATGATAACTTAGTATCAAAGCATTCTCAATTGACAAAAAAACACAACTGCAGAACCAAAGAGAAGAAAGGGTCAAAGTTCTTATAAGAGCCTCAGAGATCTTGGTGGATAAAGATCATCAGATGGTTATCACCATCAAGAGTAGCAAATATCATCTCACATCACAGGCACTTAGAGATGGAAACAAAAAATTTCCATGTTAAAGAACAATGTTAAAGCAGGGTCACACACATAAACTAAAACGCCATTACAGAAAACATAGAAGGAAACACAAATCAAAATTGTTACAGAAAACAGATAATTGAAACAACATAGATCCGAAGATACAAACCCATAAATGCACTAGAACACATCGGACGGTGTCTAACAAAAGAAAACTTAAAAGAAAACAAAAATCCACAGAAAGAACAGTATATTTGGAGCTTCTGATCTGGTAGTAAGAGATTGGAAACGGCGTGATGTGTCAGAAGTAGCTGGTTACTAATATCATTTTTGGACATCATCGGGAATCCGTCTGTTTCTTTCATCATCCAACATCACGGTTATAACAGATCATAAAAATTGGATCTTGAAGGAAGATCTGTCGAATACATTGCTTCCAGAGGCATGAAGCAACATAGAATCGATTGGAGAGGAGAAAGATGTATCAACCTTGTCACCGAAAGATCCTACAGAGAGACCATGTAAAGGGAAAAGGATCGTCGGAGCTAAAGGAAGAAGTGAATCTGGCCTAACGACAGATTCCTTGCCGCACCAAAAATCCAACAGCAAGCAATTGCAATATTAGGCCTCGAAAGCCGACTCAAGAAACCCATGAATCGATTAAAAAACCCCACAAACATCAGCAAATAAGAGATCACGAATTGCCGAATCAAAATCCAACGCATTAGAAATCGGCTCCACGAAGAAGAACGCAGACCTAATGGAGAGAAAGGGTGGCGAGAGGCCGACGGCGGAGCAGGAGGCCTGCCAAAACCCTAATAGAGTTCTATTGGAATCGCCTCTCTCGCCCATTTAAGGACGCCGAGCGGAGTGATTTGAGATACTTCGGGTTTGAAGTGTCGCGGCTACTTCAGAACCCAAACATTATCGGGTCGGATCCGAATAGGTCGAATACCGTTATCCGATAAACCTACATATGCAAACATTAGAATTTATACCGTGATCGGATATTATCGAGCATTTGACCCGAACGAATTATGTGTAGAACTTTGGCTCATACTGAATCCGATAAAGATAATGGATCCAAAATGATTTAGGATTAAGAAATTAAGAGATGAACCGTTTTGTATATATATAAAAAAAATAAAAAACCACCAGCTAGATTTTTTTTTCGTTAAAGTTAAAAAATGGAATAAAACCTAGGCTTACATTTGATGTAATGTAAGAGTTGATGCCGATGAATAAAATTTTGTAAATGGTAATAGATAAAGTAAGTGCATTTTTTATTCTTCGATACTATTCTGGTTTAGTTATACGCTAAGAATACATTCATAAATATGATGAGCTCATGATCGGAGATAATATCGATCAACTGATTAATATAAGGAAAGAGATAACTATCATTCGAACATATTTTGTTAAGATCGTTATAGTCAAACATATATATTTTAATTTTTATTAATTTTTTTTAATGAGTACAACATTAAACTGCATCTCGACAATAAACTTTGCTCGTATCAATTTGTCTACCTCATGTTAATAATGAAGAGCAAACTTATGAAGCTTTTGCTTCACTATTTATGTCTCGAGAAAAATGTTTAAGTAATGTTGAGCTATGTTAAAGTTAATTTACAGTATGTCTCTCGACGATCATGTAAAATACCTTAATATTCTCTTGAAGAATTGCACATGTTTCTTTGAGAAGTGCTCAACCTTAATAACTCAATCGGGTCAAGCATTTGTATATGGGTGCTTCAATTAGCAACTTTATTAACTCAGGATGTGAGAAACTTCATCAAAATATTGAGGGTCTCATAAGTGGCACCTTGGGTCGAGCATTCTTCAATAAGAATATCACCCTCATATAAGTACTCGTGCGACTCACTTAGGTTGTTTCTTAGCTTTCCAGTATCGATTCTTGTCAGGAATTCATTATCATATGGTAGGTCGACACCACTACCTTAGTCTATTCAGTGTGTATTGATTTATGATTACATTGTATGTCGAGGGAATATCCATCATTATGAATTTAGCTAGCATCGTTCTGAAGCAACATTTACATTTGAATATGACCTGCAGGATTATGGTCCCGAGAGACAAAATAAAGTTGCTAGTGAATATCATCAGTGAAGAGCTCATAGGGATAAGGTCGTTAGTTGAGAGTCTAAATTTTTGAAAAGCGTAAAAGTAGTTGATATCGATAAAGCTACTTGTGTCAATCATAACCCTCTTCACCCGAACATTGATCATCCTTATTGAAACTACCCAAGGCATCATCATGGTTCGAGTTAAGGTACTATGTATTTTCCTCCTTACATGTTATCTTTATATCGCCCTCCGTCCTCATGTACTTTTCAATGATAACTCGGACATAAGTTTTATGACTCAATGTGTTATCTCTCTTGAGTCCACCAATAATGACATCAATTTCCAAAGTCGAGGTGAGGGTTCTTGATGTTTTTGGATAAACCACATGAGATGTCCCTAGTATACAAGTTCTTTAATTTGTAATTTTAAATCGTGACTATCGTTCGCGTTCATCCATATACGTTGATGTTATATTGATAAATCAATGGCATAATACTTACTTTTATAATAATGTTTAAATGTGACAAATATGAACATAAATCTCCTAGTCTTATAGAAAAATAAGAAAAACTATAGATTCATTATCTCTATGTTATTGCCATAGTGAAATAGACATTATTTATATCATGAGTAAAAAAAATTAAAATAGTTACACTTGTTTTAGAAACATATTGAAAATATGCAAATTAGAATTTGAATGTTCTAAAATTCACATAAAATATAAAATAATTATTGTTTCATTATATGGATGGCGTTATCATGCTATGTTGAACATGCGAGATAAATTTTATATCTTTATACTCCTCTTTAGAATAATGTAAAAAATATGGTAACTTTTAATCTAAAGATCTCAAAATTTACATAAAATAAAAAACTATTGATTCACTATCTAAATCTTGTTGTCCTTCTAAGTCTAAGATAAATGAACTATACTTTATGCCATTAAACTTGTTTTTTGAATCATGCCAAAAAACATGAACTAGGGAATTTCTTCCATCACATTTGTGGTTTATTTGCTATTTTTTTATGAATATAATTGTGTGATCGAATGATACTTGTTGTAGAATGAATCATTTCCTTCGTTGTTCCATCGTAAATGAGCTTTCATATTGATAAAGAAGGATGCAGATCCCATAAGCAGGAGTAATGACACAAGCAAGTATCATGATGTCATCTACTTCAAACAAAGCTAAACTGCGTAGGTTTTCATGTTCAGCTCCGACCACGAGAAAGTAGCCGTCACCGGCGCTCAACGGGGCTTCAGCAATTGGTTATGGCAGTTCACAGAATTATCAGGTGACCTTCTACTACTTCGGAATGTGTTGATTGAGAACCTTATTTACAGAGGGTCAGAGTACGTTAGAATTTACAAGACGGAACGAATCGAAATCATGAGATTGAACTTGAACTCAAAGAGGATGGAATGGATCGAAATCTTGAAGCTAAACGGGTTGAAAGCTCTCCGGAGAAGGTAGAGAATATAGGAGACCACGTAATCTTTTTTTAGCATTGCTTCTCGCTCATTCTCACGCTTTGCTGCCCAACTCCATTACGTTATTACCATCTTCCAGTTCTTCTACATCACTTTTGTGATAATTTCTTTCATTCATTGTTGCTACTTGATTGCTCCCATCACAATTTGCAATGGATCTGAGCCGTAATACAAAGATGGATTGTGATAGTAATCCTTCACATCGTGGCTGAGCGAGCCGGCACGGTTCGGTTCTGTCCCAAGTGCGCAAGATCATCCACCTCTGGCGAGTCATGTTTTGGGCTCTGGTTTCCGAGTCGAGTGCTCCTCGGGCTTCGATCCCTATACACAGGTTGGGGACGGGAAGGGGTTCCTGACTTCAACCTCTCCGAAGATCTTATTGGTGTTGAACTGCTGGAGAAAAAACCTCCTCTTGTTTAACCCTCGAGAGGTTTTTATCTTCCCCTCAGGGGGACTGGTCGTACTTGGGTTGTTTTATTATCGTTGGCATTGTACTCGGTCGGTGCCGTCCTAGTTTTCGTCGGATGACGCTATGCGGGGTCATCCCGGCCTTTACGGGTCGAGGGTACTCTGTGGGAGCCGTCTCGGTATTTTTGGAACGACACCGTGCTCAGTCGGTGCATCCCGACTTTTGCGGGACGACGTTGTGCGAAGCCGTCCTGGCCTTTGCGGGATGACGTCGTACTTGGTGGGTGCTGTGCTGGGTTGGCACCATCCTGGCCTTTGGGAGATGATGCTATGCCGACCCAACCTTTGCGGGTCGGTATGGTACACACTCGGTGCCATCCCGTCCTCTTCGAGACGGTGCTGTGATTGGTCAGCGCTGCCCGACCTTTACGAGATTTGTGTTAATTTAGGTGTGCCGACCTAGATACTAATGTGGTAGGTTCCAAGATGTGTCCTATCATATTGCGTGGCAAAATATTCTGCAAACAATTATTAAGCTACCACTGATTTCCAACTTCAATTTTGATGGGTCATACATATATCATGAACATAAAAAAGGTGTGTTTTCTTACCCTTGTGTTCATAATAACTCGTTTATATAAAAGAAATAATATATACTTTTTCCCTCCATGCATCCACTAAAGCTTCTTTCACAAAATTCACTCAAACCAAATAAATCATTCCTCTCACATACACAACAACAATATATATATATATATATATATATATATATATATATATATATATATATATATATTGCATATATAAATACAAAAAAAAGTCTAAAATATATAAATTATAAAATTATGTTAGATATATAATAATTAGATTAAATATATAAAATATGATCATTATCAAATTATTTTTTAATACTATATAGATATATATGTATATATTTTGAAATAATTATAGTATCAATTTGTGAGTAAGACTGCATAAGCTTATCGTCTCGACGGATCACCGACAAAATAACACCCGACGTAGGTTCATTTTATTGTCGAGACTGTGAGGTGCCATCCGATTTGCCGATTCCACCATATTGTTCGTTTCCGAAACCTAGAAAGGGGTAAACCCTAAATCCGCCGAGCCCTTTGGATGCGAGAACTCTGCGAGTCGCCGCTCTCTGTCGGGGTTTCACCATGGGCGCCAGTCGGAAGCTGCAGGGTGAGATTGATCGAGTGCTGAAGAAGGTCCAGGAAGGCGTCGACGTCTTCGATAGCATATGGAACAAGGTACTGCCGCGTGGGGATAGGGGAGATCCGCACGATTCTTAGCTTCCCTTTGTGGTTTTGATGGTCTTCGGGTGCTTTTGGTAGGTTTACGACACGGAGAACGCGAACCAGAAGGAGAAATTCGAGGCGGATCTCAAGAAGGAGATTAAGAAGTTGCAGCGGTATCGCGATCAAATCAAGACATGGATACAGTCTAGCGACATCAAGGATAAGAAGGTTAGGGTTTCGTCCTTCCTGTGGACATCTTTGATCTGGCGTTCACTGTGACCTCCTTCTGATGTCATGTCTTTGATGTAGCTAGGATTGTTGGCGTCTTTGTTCTTGCCGTTTGTGGGATCTTAATGGTACTGGAAACTTGACAACTTGATTTCGTGACATGTACTGAGCAGATATTCTTGAAATGATTCTACTCGAAGCAAAAGGGGGAACTTTCTGCTATGTAATTTGGGATCGAAATTCACATTTTCCTAGTGTAAAAAATTTACCTTTCTTCTTGTCTCCATTGGACTTGGCAAGTAATAACATCCTAAATACAAATCGGATACAGTGTTTTAAGATAAATACATCACATTTACTTTCTTAACACTAATGTTTGTAGCTCTCTGT